CCACTGGCCAACCTGGGGGGCTCCTCCCATCCAGGAGAGAAGATGCGTCAGGAAAACACGGGGAATATTTCCCACACAGCCACCCACCCCTTTCTTCTTCCTTCTGGGGCTCTTGGTCTTAGGGCTTTGTTTTGGAGGGCAATTTGAAGGACCAGTGGGATTTGGCATGAGTGAGGGGACTGGCCCAGCGTCCCTTTCCCTGCTTTCTTGATCACAGCAGCAGCCTTTGCGGGATCAGCCCCCTCCAGGGAGTTTCTGTGGGACTGCTAGTCTCAGGGCCCTGCCCTAACCAGCACAGGGAACACCCAGGCCTAGCCAGTCATCATACCCAGGCCCCCAGACATGAGCACCAGCCCAAGTCTGGCCATGTGACTGAGGCAAGACCAATGAGAGTCCTTTCTCTGGGAATTGAGAAGTTCGGAGGAAAAAATCTCTTTCCTCTGGGACCCTCAAGATGGAGTGATAGATGCCCGAGGCCATCGGCACACCTGCTCTTCTCCTCCTTCTCATGGACAGAGCCTCTGGCTGTAGAAGAGCCAATAGACAGGTGGACTATCCAGGGGCATGGGTTGTGGAGAGAGAACGAGAGAGAGCAAGAGACAAGGGTTTCCTGTCACAGGACCAAATACATTTCTTTTGCTTGAGCTGCTGTGAGTCGGGCTTCTGTCACTCACACCCGGTAGAGCCCTAGATAATCCTTGCATCAGGATTGACAGGCACCTGCACTTGGGTGCATAGGATCCCCTTGCCTGAGCTAAACACTCCTCACTGTCTCTCCCCCAGAGGCTGTGCCACTCTTTCCTTCTCTTGCCAAGCTCACAAGACCACCCCTGCTTCCTCAGCTGCCAACTGCTTGACTGGGAAAGTGAATTTGTCACCTCTCCCCCACTCTGTCCCCACTTTCCTCCATAGCTGCCTCCCCATCCTGTCCCTCCTCTGCCCCTTGCCCGCTGCTGACCAAAAGAGCTGGGATGGGAGGGCTCAGCGCCAGCAGATCCCAGACCTTCCTCCATCTTCCCACCTCTCTGCTAGCTTCCTCTTGGTCTCTTTCCTTCTTCTTGGTGCTGTGTCCTCCTGACTGGGCGGTTCTTCCCCGGGTGCCCTGCAGGGGGGTCATTCTCTGCAGGGGAGGTGGGGGGCCTCCCTGACCCAGAGGTCAGAGTAGATAGCCGGCCTCCCCCTACAGCTCCTCACCAGATGGCCGGTTACAATGAAATCAGTGCTACCCCACTTAAAGCATCAGTTCTGAGACGCACGAAACAGATTTCCCACCAGAGTCCCACTCTCTATCCTGTGCGGGAAAGCTTCTCTCTGGGTGGATTCGAGGCCGTGATGGACAAAGATGAGGCAACCGTCCAGTCAGGTCATTGTGTGGTGCATCCAGGACCAATGAGAGAAAGTTCCGAACCCAAGGTACTGCTCTGTTGGGTTCCTGGACTTGTTCAGGGAGAGGGGGCTGTGCAGTCTTTCTTGCCAAGCACACATCTTCAGGGACACTCTTTTCCCTAAAGAGGGACTTCTGACACTCCCCTGCCAATGAATAGGCCCTCTTCGAGTGTAGATGGACATGCAGTGAAGCCCCAGCCATGGCAGCCCAAGTCTTGTAACTGCCCTGAAGTGCAGGCGTCTCCTCAGGGTCTTTAAATACCAAACTGAGTTCTGTCCCACGCTCACCAACATGGTGGGGCTGCTCTGACATGACTACAGCCAACAGCAAATCTGTACCCCTCGGCCACCACCTGGCTCACACCCGGCATCCCAGTGCTCTGGGCCCCAGTCAGCCCCACTCTGGCCAGTCAAAGGCTGACCCGGGGCAACCTCTGGCCTTCTAGATGTCTCCCCACAGCCACCACTTCCCTGTGAAAGCCCACACTGTGTTAGGGTCAAAGCAGCAGGATCTGGATTCCAACCCATTCTCAGGGGTAGTGGGGCAGCTATAAGAGAAAATGGGGAGAGGGATGGAGAGAGGGACAGGGGACATGAACAAGGGAGCAGGGACAGAAACGGGGAGAGAAGGTGCCCAGGAGGTGTGGGGAAGATGGTGACACTGGGGGACGGGGAGCTTCTAGGCAGAAGGAGAGCTTCCTCTCCCAGGGCAGCCCATCAGCCTGAGAGGAAGAGGGGATAACCAGTGCCAGGGACCTCTAAGCCACCAGGGCTTGCGACGCCAGCGGCCTACCCAGCTACACTTCCTGTTCCTCCGCCCTCCCTCCAGGCTCCAGACCCTCCTCTCCCCACTCCCAACCCACCCCCCACCTCCCCCACCACCTGGGATGCGAGGGCCCGCCCTTATGGGCAGGGACGGATTCCAGCCCCACCACCCCTGTCCTCAGGGGCCTTGCTCAACCACTCCAGTTGGGGCTGGAGATAATAATGAGCAGGAATCCGCTGGGCTCTGCCTGCAGGCGGGATAGGTGGCAGGAGCCAGACCTAGCGCTCCTGATAGGACAGGGCCCAGCCGAGCACCCTGGAGGGGAACCTGTCAGAGTGACAGTGATAGCCGCCCAGGGTCCCTCCTGGCCACCGCATGCCCCACCCCCAAGCCACAGTCAGGGACCGAGTACTTAATTTTCATCCATTTGCCCAGGCCCAGATCAAATGAGCCCATGAAGATAACCAGCTCCTCTCAGGGGACCCTATTCCCCCAGTAAACACTCAGCTGGCTGTTAGTGGCTTCCCCCTTTTACCTTCTTGTCCTGGTGGGTTCTGGGGCCCCTGGCCTGGGCCAAATGTTGACAATCATAACATCAACAGCAGCCCACCTGTCCTAACGCCACCATGTAGGAGAAACTAATCTACGCACTTTGCGTGTGTCATCCCATGTCACCCTGTAGTGGCAGGAAACTGAGGTCTCGAGGGGATAAGCCACCTGACCCTACTGACAGCCCGGAAATGCAGAGCCCTGACCCAACCCCCAGGCCCCTAGAGGCTCCAGTCTGGACTCCAAACCCCTTCCTGGGGCAGCGGTGTCTGCCCCTCCCTGGCACCTGAGAAAACCCCAAAGCTTCCAGGTCAGGGGTCAGTGCTGAGGTCCCTTGAGATGTCCCCAGCCAAGCAGCCCTGTCCCTCTCTCCAGGCCACGCTTGCAGGGTGAAGGGGGAGAACCCAGAAACCTGGGCAGTGGATTGGAGCAGGGGCAGGCAGCCAAGCCAAGGGGGGCTTTTGTCTACTGGTCAGATCTTCCTCCAGCCCTGGTACTTGAAAAGGGCCATTAGAAAGCACTGGCCCCAGGGTTCTTCTCTGGAATTTTACAGGGAAGAACTTTCACTTTCCCTGAGCAGAGCTTACAACATCCCAGCAAATTCTTAGTGCATCTTGGGTTTTTCCTCCCCTTCCAAGGGGCCCCTGAGCCTTAAAGAAAGAGTTGAGGAGGGGCGCCTGGGTGGCTCAGTGGGTTTAAGCCTCTGCCTTCGGCTCAGGTCATGATCCGAGGGTCCTGGGATTGAGCCCCACATCCGGCTCTCTGCTCAGCAAGAAGCCTGCTTCCCCCTCTCCCTCTGCCTGCCTCTCTGCCTACTTGTGATCTCTGTCTGTCAAACAAATAAATAAAATCTTTAAAATAAAAAGAAAAAGAGTTGAGGAAGCTCCTCGCCTCAGGCTCAGAGTCCAGGAGCCCAGCTCAGTAGGAGAAGCTTCATTAGGCTTCTACCACTGACCTCTACATTCAGGGACCTACTGACCTCCCGAGGCATCCCTCAACAGGAAAATACCTCCCTGTCACTGCTGTCCTCCGAGGGCTCAGGGCCTGCCTCTGGATCCAGGCAGGCCTCCTGGCTTTGTTTACTATGATACCTGGCCCACAGGGCTTTCCCACTCTGGGCACCTCTATTTCCTCCTCTGTAAGGTAAGAATAATAAATGTATGTGCCTCTAGGATTAAGTGATTCGTGATTGAGCCTAGAATCGGGCTTTGCATATTGTAACTCTTTGATGAATGTTAGCTTTTATTTCTTGGACTGTGAAATGCTTCCATTTCAATTCTCTGGGCATTTTTGAGGTCCTCCTATCAGCTCAGTGATGGGACCTGGACCTGGAACAAAACTACAACAGACACATGGACAACTAGCCAGATCAGTGGAGGTTTTTACCAGTTAGAGGATTCTGGAAGTCACCTGGATAGAAACACCTATCACCCCAGACCCTGCTGGACCAAGGTTGGCCATCTGTGTTGTACATCTGCTTGAGCCCACTCCCCAGGAAGGGCTGGGTCCTGCACACATGTAAGCAGATTAATAAAGGCTGGGGACAAAAAGGGTTTGAGTGAAATATTTGCTGATGGTTGAAAAGAGAGGAGGTCGCAGCCAGGCAAGCCAGCCTTCCAATAGTAGTGAGGAGGGCCTCGGGCTGGCTTCCAGAGAAGGCTTCCAGAGCTGTGGCCCTTGACACCGGCAGCCCAGCCTACTGGGGGCCTCTTCCCCCAGAGACATTGCTGCCCCCAGTCCCTCTTCCCTCTAGACCAGCCCTAGGTAGCTGGCCCGAGGTCCCCAACAGCTGGATGCAGGGAGGTCTGCCTGGGAAGGGGGGAAAAGGAAGAAGGCAGAGGAAAGCAGAAGGGGAAAAGCAAGCCCTGTCCTGCTCTGCCTCCCCAACTTCCGAAGAAAAGTCCCGAATGGGACCAGAGGGAGATGGTGGGGACCTGGAGGCCCCTGGAAGGTGGGCGGTGAGTGGTCTCCCGGCTCACAGGCGTCCAGAGGGACGGACGACCACAGGGAAGCTCCGCGGAGCAAACCCAGTAGTCGGGGACGGAAGGGACACTCGCGGGCTCCGAAGTTTCGACTGGGCCACGCCGGGTCGGGCCTCGGGGTCCACCTCCGCGAAATGGGTCACTGGCCACAGAGGGGAGGGCAGGCGGTGCGGCAGAGGGGTGAGAGGGCGGGAGCGCCGAAGGGGTTAACGCACCTGGGCCGCCGCGGCCCCTCCCGGCCCCTCCTCCAGCCGCCGGGAAGAGGAAAGTCGCGGCGGGGGCGCGGCTCGGCCTTCGCTCCCGCCCGCCTCGTCCCGGTCCCCGCCCGCCGTCCCCGAGCCGCGGCACCCAGAGCTGCGACCCGCGCGCCCCGCTCCGCCGCCGCCCCGGCCCGGGCCGCCATGTCTCTGTGGTGAGTGGGGTCTCGGCCGGGCCGTCGGGCGGGGGGCCAGGGCGGGGGGCGCGGGGACACCCGGCTCCCTCCCCCCGAGGTCGGGGGCACTCACCGGCGCAGGGGGCACCGGGCCGCTGCCGGGGACCGGAGGATGATGCCGCGCTCGGTGCTCCGGAACTGGCCTCAGTTTCCCGGGACTGACGGGCTCGGCGGCGGCGGTCGGGATGCCCAGCGGGGAGAGGCGCCCGAACCAGCAGGACGGGGCTGGGTGGGGATCCCGCGGGGCCCGTGCGCGCTGCCCTCGCCGGCGGCCCTTCGGCTCCCCCGGGCCCGGGCCCCTCGGCACCCGGATCCCACGCGGGACTCCGAGCTTTGGGGACCCAAGGGCTCTCCGGGAAGCTGGGTCCCGTCCCCCATTCCGAGGACCTCCTGCGTCTTGGGCGACCCCGGTCCTCTACCACACCCCCGAGGGGCTCTCCTTTCTCCAGGGGAGCTAGAGCCTCCGGTCCCCCACCTCTCCCCCTCTCCCTTTCTCCTTCCTCCGCTGCGGGACTTTTGTCCTACAAATGGAGTGGGGCGGTGCATCTCCGCTGCATCCCCCTCCCCTGGGGTGACCCCCCTCAACTTCCTCCAGTCTGGACCTCCCTAACTGGGGGGAAGGGGTGATTCGCTCAAACCCCCAGGAGACCCTGACCCCGGAATATTCTACTCCCCTTTGGGAGGGTTGAGTTTCCGTTTCCAAACCCCCCCCCCCCCACTCCAGCACCTGGGATGACCCAGTCTTCCCCCAACCGCATACACCAGGAATCCCTGGGACCCCATGGGAAAATGTCACTCCAGGGGACTCCACGTTCACCTGCCCTGGGTGGCTGCACCTTCAACCAGCCAGTCCTGAGGGCCACCCCAGGCTTCTCCAGAGTCCCTGTGACGTACTTTGGAGTCTTTCTTCTGTTAGACCCGGCCCTGCAGCTCCCCCCTGGGGGTCGGCGCTGTCTCCTTGGCCTGGTCCCATGAGGCCACACTTCTAGCCTGCCTCTTCCACAATAGCCCCCAGCCCTTGTGTCTCAGCAAGAGAGACCGGGGCTGAAGGCCTGGCCACCTCCAGAGTGTGAGCTGAGGACAGAGAATCCTCGAGAGCCCCCCCTCCCCGCTGCCTCTGCCCTGGGTCTGCCAGCACCTCCTGCAAAAGGCTTTAATTTCTTCTTCTGAAATAGGTGTGGTAGGGAGTATCTGGGCAAGGAGGGTCCCTGAAAAATAAAATCCGAATGTGTCCCCTTTCCATGTAGAGCTGGGGGAACTTCTCTCTCCAAGCGGGATGTTAAGACAGTGGGGCCCGGTGTCGGTCGTGCCAGGAGCCGCCTGCCCCCTTCTCGGGCCTCCATCAGCCATGTGGGCAGTACTGCATTGGGTTGGACGGATGGGATGGAAGGAGAAGGGACAGGCTTCTTCGGGTCCCACGTTAAAGGCTGTCCCCAGTGTCCCCCCAGGTTATTGAGCTCTGCGGCTGTAGAGCAAGTCCTGTGTCTGCCCCTCCCAATGTTTCCCCTAGCCCAAGTTTCACCCCAAAGCTTCACCCCAGTGGTTCACCAGGTTTGGACAGGGAAATGAAAGCAAACAGGGTGGCTTGCTGGGGTTGGGGGAAAAGCAGAAATCTCCACCAGAGGTCGTCCTCAGAGACTCACAGCATTCCCCGGACTACACACCCACTGGGAGTGGGACTCCTGAGATAGTGCTCTCACTCCTTGTTATCCTCATTGAGGGGGAAAAAGAAATCACGGTTTGGAGACTGTAAGGGGGACCCACTCAGAGTCATTTCGCTTGTACGTGGGTCCCTGGGTCCTGGCAAGGAGGCAGGGCAGGGAGGGAGAGGAAGCAGGCCTCTCCTCTAACCACTGGGGGCTCACATGACTTGAGTCTGTGCCCCCCCCTGCAGTTCCCAACAAGTCACAGGGTACTCATCCTTTCCTCTCTCCTCCATGCCACTGTCTATCCCCACCCCTCTGTCCCCTCCCCCCCCCCACCCTGCCCCCAGGAAGAAAACAGTCTACAAGAGCGTGTGCCTGTCCCTGGCCCTGCTTGTGGCCGTAACAGTATTCCAGCGCAGTCTAACCCCCCACCAGTTTCTGCAAGAGCCCCCACCGCCCACCCGGGAGCCACAGAAGGCCCAGAACCCCAGTGGACACCTGGTGAACCCCAACAGCTTCTGGAAGAACCCCAAGGATGTGGCTGCACCCACGCCCATGGCCCCGCGAGGGCCCCAGACTTGGGACGTCAGCACCACTAACTGCTCAGCCAACATCAACCTGACCCACCAGCCCTGGTTCCAGGGCCTGGAGCCCCATTTCCGGCAGTTTCTGACCTACCGGCACTGCCGCTACTTCCCCATGCTGCTGAACCACCCGGAGAAGTGCCATGGCACTGTCTACCTGCTGGTGGTGGTCAAGTCCGTCATCACGCAGCACGACCGCCGTGAGGCCATCCGCCAGACCTGGGGCCTGGAGCAGGAGCTGGGGAGCCGCGGCGCTGTGCGCACCCTCTTCCTGCTGGGCACGGCCTCCAAGCAAGAGGAGCGAGCCCACTACCAGCAGCTGCTGGCCTACGAAGACCGGCTGTATGGCGACATCCTGCAGTGGGACTTCCTGGACAGCTTCTTCAACCTGACCCTCAAGGAGATCCACTTCCTCAAGTGGTTTGACATCTACTGCCCCCATGTCCAGTTCATCTTCAAGGGCGACGACGACGTCTTTGTCAACCCCACCAACCTGCTGGAGTTTCTGGCCGACCGGCAGCCGCAAGAGGACCTGTTCGTGGGTGATGTCCTGCAGCACGCCCGGCCCATCCGCAAGAAAGACAACAAGTACTATATCCCGGGGGTCCTGTACAGCAAGCCCAGCTACCCGCCGTACGCGGGCGGGGGCGGCTTCCTCATGGCCGGCGGCCTGGCCCGGCGCCTGCACCGCGCCTGCGACACCCTGGAGCTGTATCCCATCGACGACGTCTTCCTAGGCATGTGTCTGGAGGTGCTGAGCGTGCAGCCCATGGCCCACGAGGGCTTCAAGACGTTCGGCATCTCCCGGAACCGCAACAGCCGCATGAACAAGGAGCCCTGCTTCTTCCGCTCCATGCTGGTGGTGCACAAGCTGCTGCCCGCCGAGCTGCTGGCCATGTGGGGGCTGGTGCACGGCAACCTCACCTGCGCCCGCAAGCTGCAGGTGCTCTGACAGCGGCCGACCCCCGGAGGGGCGGGGCCACGCATTCTTGAGCGCCCCCCGGTGGCCTGGGGCTGGAGCTGCAATGTCCGGGGCAGAGATTGTGGTTCCCTGCCACCCCACCCCCGCAGGGAGGTGGGGTGGGGGGGCGTGGGACTTTGCGGGCCGCTGGGCGTGATGGGGCGTGGTGAGCCAGAAGGGGCCCTCATTGCGTGGACCTTACCCAGAAAGTGGTCCTTCCCCGCCTGCGGAAGGTCATCTTGGGAGCAAGGCCGGTGGCCTCTGGTAGTCCTCCTAACCTGGGTTCTCTGCTGGGCTCCCCGTGACCTGGGGGGAGGCTCTGGAGACCTCTGAAGGAACCCCGTGCTCAGGTACCCGGGTTAGGCCTGGCCCTGGATGGGACAGGGGTGGCCCTCTCTTCTTCACAGAGAAGATTCTCCACCTCCCGTGAAATGCCTCAGTCTCCCCCACGGGCCCAGGCAGCCCTTTCAGGAGAAGCTCAACCCTGTGCAGGCTCACAGGCCCCTCCGCGGCCCCCCCCTGCAGCCCATGCCCCTGGGCCTCCAGGAGATGGAAGCTCACAAGGCCTTCAGCAACAACTCCCCCCCCCCCCCCCCCCCCCCACCACCACAAGACCTGCCTGGAGTTGCTGCTTGTCTCTGCTCACAGGAGGGTTTGTTCCCGGCTGTGTCCTGTGATGCTCCATCCACCCCATCTGGAAGCGCAGCTGGCCGCCCTGACTACCTCAGCAATGCTCCGAACCTCCGGATGGCCTGCAGCGCCCCTTCCCCAACCCAGGGCCAGAGAGCAGTGCTCCAGCCCCTGCAGTCCTGGTGCTGCCCAGCCCTCCGAGGGACGGGTGCAGTGCCCCCGAGGCCTGGCTCCCCACCCGGAAACCAGCCGGTTTGGCCCTGGAGATGGACATTCCTCTATTACTGTGAAGTCTTATTTATGAAGAATTTGGAGGGAGAGAGTGCCAGGCCTCGGGAGATGGTGGTGTTCCTCCTCTCCCTTCCTCATTCCAGCAAGATACCACCTCCGCAGCCACTCACCCCCCACCCAGGGCACCCCCACGCCTGTTCCAGTCCCCTTCCGGAACCCTGCCCTCCCTGCCTGCCTACTTCTCCAGGGCCTGAGCAGACCAACATGGGCCCCCCATAAAGGGATGGAGTGAACCCTCAGGCGTCCTTGGGCATGGGCGCAAAAGGACGCCCCCTCACATCAGTGGGGAGGCACCGAGGAAGAGATTGAGGGATCGACTCTACTTTCTCAATAAAAGGGGGCTGGTTTTTTCCTGGTGTGCGACTTTCTGTCACCATCTCCATCAGAGAGAGTCTAGGGCCGGGGTTACCAGAGATTTCTGAAGACACAGCTTGTTCCTTGCTTTTGGCCGATGGGTGCACAAGGACGCCTTGAAGGGCTTTAGAGGGATGTGGGTGCCAAGATTAAAGCGGACGCCACAGGGGCCAGAGTCTGGAGAGCTGCCCCCCAGAGGAGGCGGTGTGGGGGAGAAACAGGTTAGCTAACGGTGCATTCCCAGGGAGCCTGATGTTACAGTGGGTGGGGGTGGGTTCCCTGATGTCCCTTCAGTCAACCTGGAAGCGTTCACAAGCTTGACAAGAAGCACCGAAACAGCAGCTCAGTGGGGTCCAGGGCTGGGAGTCGAAGGGGACTGCCATGTCTGGGGAGCCTTGGCCTAAGTTGCTCACTTCTAGTGTGGGGAGAACATCTATCCCAGAAGAGTCACTGGGGCCAAAGTGAGCAAGCCAGCAGCTCTCCGCCTGTGCCCAGCTCGAGGCATCACGGAGTAGGGCAGATGCCCCCAGATGTCTACACTGGGTCTCTCCTTCAGGGAAGTGAAAGGAAGGGCTGGGTCCTCATATAACCTCAGAGGGCAGAAGGGGGCCTGAGACTAAATGGCAGGGGGTCCAGGGTCAGTGCTGGGTTCAGCTGTGCCCTGAGGGATGAACGGGGAGGCAGAAGGGAGGACTTGTCATACAAAGGCTGGAGGAGGCAGGTGCAAAGCTGAATCGGAAAAGAGCTCCTCCCCAGGGGTGGGGGGTCGTGGGAGGGTGTTTGGGCCCCGGTGTGAGAAGGGACAGGAGCCCATGAGGGAGGCAGGGCCTGTGAGGCCTTCTGGTTTTCCGGAAGGTGTTCAGACTTGATCCTCAGAGAGCAACGGGGCAAGGAGCAGGGGCCCTGGGTGTGCACCCCCTTCCTCGGGGCTCACTGGGCCCCGTGAACTAGGAGCTCTCAGCAGAGAGACTGCACATTCCCAGCGTGGAAACTGCCTCAGCCTCAGCATCAGGCCCCATGGGCAGCCTTGCTCCGAGTCCATTTCAGATCTCAGGACCCAGGCCTGGGCTGACAGAGCTGGCAGAGGGGTGGGGTGCTGGCATTAGCTCCCCAGAAGGAAGGGAGGAAGGTCAGGGAGCCCACCAAAGGGGACCCGTGTAACTGGCACCCCCAGCACAGGGTGGAGAGCAGGCTTCAGCCCTGGGCCTGACACCTCACCTCCATCTTAAAGGAGGAGTAGCACTCCCGTGGTAGACGGGGAAGGACGGCCCCCAGGCCAGGAACGTGTGCAACAGCCCAGAAGTGAGTGAGAACACAGCCATCAGGAGACGTGCCTGCTGCCTGGTGTGGACAGTGTAGAGATGGGAGGGCCAGGGATGGGGTTGTCCCGGTAAAAAGGCTCGGCTGGCTAAAGCTTAGGATGCCTTCTGCAGGCCCTGAGGACTCATCCCAGCTTCCAGAGCCAGAAACAAACAAGATCAGATGGGAACCCTAGAAACATGCCCTTGACCCCAGACCCCCTTGTGGGGCATGGGGAGGCAGCCAGTCCCAGGCCCCAGGGGGCTTCACAAAAGAAGGGGCTAGTGACTGGGAAAATTGCGGAGACCCTTTCACCCAGCTGGCCCTCGTTTCCTCCATCTGCCTGGGAGGCTGGCTCCAAGGAGGGTGCCCTTGGCCTTTCTAAGGGCTGCTGCTGATCATTTTGGGAAACAGAAACAAAGGCCTTTCGGGTCTTACAATCTTGTTTCCCAGTAACAATGATAGCAACGGCCATTTTATGGAACTTACTCAATTTGCCTGGCATTTCACATGTGGCACGGGCATGACCTTCACTGAGGGTACAAACACAGATATATTTTAATGTTTCTCATTGAGTGTTGGAGTCCGAGTCCCTCCTGTACCCCTGTTGGCAGAAAATTGAAGTAGAATATGACACTCCAAGGGGCACCTGGATGGCTCAGTGGGTTAAAGCCTCTGCCATCGGCTCAGGTCATGATCTCAGGGTCCTGGGATTGAGCCCCACATCGGGCTCTCTGCTCAGCGGGGAGCCTGCTTCCTCCTCTCTCTCTGCCTACTTGTGATCTCTGTCTGTCAAATAAATAAATAAATAATCTTAAAAGGAAAAAAAAGAAGACTATGATACTCCAAAATATGTTTCTTTGGCATGAGAATTATCTTGAGCTGGTTATTTTTAAGAAATAGCAGACGCAGGAGAAGCTCTGAAAACTGAGTTAGATGTGACCATTTTTTAAAAAAAGATTTTATTTATTTATTTAACAGAGATCACAATTGGGCAGAGAGGCAGGCAGAGAGAGAGTGGGAAACGGGCTCCCTACTGAGCAGAGAGCTAGATGCACGGGACTCAATCCCAGACCCTGAGATCATGACCTGAGCCGAAAGCAGAGGCTTAACCCACTGAGCCACCCAGGTGCCCCTAGATATGACCCTTTTGTAAGGGACATTGAAACTTGTAAAAGAAATCTCCATTTGGGTCTCCCTCTCTATGCGGGGAAGAGGAGGATGGGGAAGCATCAATGCAGAAGGCAGGGTCTGAAATCCCATAAGTGACTACCCCCCCCAACACACGTATACACACACACACACACACACACTCTCTCTCTCTCTCTCTCTCTCTCTCGCTCGCTCACTCTCTCTCCACCCCAACATCCACCCATCAATGGTGGCTTCCTCCATTTTACAGAGTTTGAATCTTTTCCTGGGTATCACCCATGCATACAGGAGATGTACATGTCGCTAAGCGTCTGTCTTTTAGTCCAGGGAGGTCTCAGAAAAAATATTTTTTCTGCCTCTTGGAGCCCACTCACTACCAAACTGTACTGAACTTCAAGGGCTTCCAAAGTGCCAAGGCCCCATGTCCAGCAATTCAGGAAAGCCTGGGATCGGCCCTCTTCAGCTGTTGCCTGTCCGTCCACACGGTGGCGCTGTGGAACGTGGGCCGGCGCAGTTCCGCGCGTTCTTAGAGGCTGCTTTTCAGGCACAAGCTGTAGAGGGGCCCACAATTCACACACAAAGAGGTACTTCTCTTAACCATGACATTAAATTTTAGTCCATCCCCAGCCTGATCCTGGGGAGCAGGCTGACAGGGAGAAGGGTCTCAAAGGCCCTGGGCTTCAAATAGAAGCCACCAGCTTCGTCCCCACTCTCGTATTCGTCCCCACTTTGTCCCCAGCCACCAGCTCTGCTTTCCAAAGGGATGTGCCGAGTGGTAGCCATGGGTGCCACAGAAGACCACTCAAAGAACCCTAGCCTAAACAAAGAAAGCTGGTGTCCAGGTGACTTACTCTGTCCAGTCAGGCTGAGAAGCAGCGGGGAGGGAAGCTTCTGGAACCCCCTTATATGCCACAGTCAAGTGAAGAAACAGAGGCTCCCAGAAGAAGGATCCCACAGCTACGCTCTGACAGGGCAGGACTTGAACTTAAGTCTGTGCTCCTTAACCCGTCAACCTACAGTCTCCCAAGAGCTGCAAGTTTTCCTTTTTCCCTCAGTAGTAACTTCGGGTGTATTTGTGGATTTTTGCCCCCAAACCCAAAGAGTAGAAACATGTTACATCCAGTGACTGATTGGAAATCTAATATTTTGATGTTTGGGGGAGCCCAGCAGTATTAGCACTGTAAAGAAAAAAAAAAATTTTTTTTCCCAGATAGTTACTTAAAATATTACAAAGAAAAACTTGTTTCAAAAATACACTAAGCTTTAAAGCACAACCCCCAAGCTGTCTGCTCCTAGCCCAGTTCATTCTCCGTGAGCTATTTTACACCTTTTCTAAATTGCAGGTTCTAGTGGCTAGGGAAACAGGTGG